GGGCGAAACTTCCCTCATTCCCTACGAGACCATTCAGTAAAGTAGTCGGTTCATCTTAGCTGCCAGCAAGACACGGCAGTGGACAGCGGATTCACAAGGCTTGGCGTGGCTGCATGTGCGCAGGTCATGGAATCACAAGCGGAAGACTTGCAAACCACGGGCTACGAGCTCCTAGGTCGGGCCGGATAGGGTTGGGCCAGCTGTGTGTCAATGGGTTGGGAGCCAGCCTGTCGTGGGTACACAACAGTCTTGGTTTGACATGCAGCTTTTGCTGACACACCAAATGTCCGAATAGGATGCTCTTTGTTTGTTTGGGTGGTGGAGGAATCACTGCACAAATATCCTCGTGCCAATTTCCACTACCAAATGGGTGGCCTCAAGGCGACTACAAAACCCAAAACCGGTGCATTTTGTATAAAATGACATTTTGGATGTCCAATGCATTCCTTAGTAAGATGCTGTGAAACGCACCCCCAGACGTCAGGCAGAACATTTTGTAGGGGGATGTTGCTGGGCGTTTGTTGGGATGACTCTGAACCTCAGGCAATTCATTTTGTAGAGAGCCACTTGATCAAAAATAGAGGTTGGGCCGTTCATTTTGTAGAGATTGACTTGAATATGCAGCCAAATTTTTGGCCTGAAAAGCGAACTAAGGGGCATGCTAGATGTACCGGCATAGATGTACATCCAGGAAAATACTACAGTGTTGTCCTATCAGCATGCCCGCTGCTGTACCGCCGGGACTTTTTGTAGTGAGCATTTTTTGGTGCTTGCTGAGGGGCATGCTTGAGGTTGTGCAATACATTTTGTAGTAGCTCTAAATCCCATACTGTATGTGTTTTTCCAATAGAAGGGTTGGGGCCCTTGATTTTGCAGTGCACCATAAATCCATAGGTCATTCTGTAGCACTGTGTTTTTGCATGGTGCTTTCCATTTTGTAGCAAAAGAGGTTGCGCACATCGTTCTGTACAACAAAATGTATTGTCCAAGGTCACCTGGTAAATTGCAAAGAAGATGCACAAATGAATACTATTCCTTTCATGTCTATCATTATTTGTGCACTTGGCGATCCAGTGAAGCTAAAAACACTTGGACCATAAGGCTTGTCCAGTGCTGGCAGGTTTTTTTAAACAGTTACGCCGCCCACGGTTATGAAGCTGCTGCAATGAGACATCCCTTATGATCACTCTCCCGCTCGCTTGCAGTATTAACCAAGCATCTCATCATGAATCGAATCACGTATATGCACGTCAATCGTCCCTTCTCTGCAATAAATGGTTTCTTTGCGATCTTTGGGCCTTAAGTATCTACAAGTCTGCGTTTACGGTCCGCAGACGTGCGACCCACAGGTTGTGACATGATGCTGGATGCAGACCTGAACCTTTGGCTCATTGAGGTGCCAACACAATGGGTCAGGTTCGAACGCACCCGCTCACATCACAGTCATATAAGGCCACGTGTTATTAAATGTACAATCAGATCAGAGGTGCTTTGTAGCCATGCCTTTGGTTAAGATAGATGAGTCCGTGCTGGTGATCATGTTTCAACAACACTTTATAACATATACCACAACCCTTCATAGAGTGTTCAACCTTTGCAAACCGATTCTTGTTTTCCTCCAACTAACCATCACCCTATAGCCTTCCGTTCGACCATTAAAAACATAAACAAAACTGCAAGAACTGCTTCAGCTGGTTTTGTATGTGTGTCAAATTGTAGATCTAAAACGGTTCTTCCATGTTCTTCGTTGTGATACGTCTTTTTGCACCGAAAGAAAAACAGCGGAAACGATGGTTCCAACCATCTATTTTGAACCGTTCACGGAATCCAATCCATTTCGCCGTCCACGGACCAACGACCGGGCGACCGAGGTGAACAACTCCCCAGAGCTCATGCCAAGCCTTGGCGCCAGGCAAAAAGCTGTAGCTTGGGCTGTAGTTGGCGTGTGTTTTCTTGCCAAAGACCAGAAAAAGGCCCAACTATACTATATACTAGTGTGTCTTGTTGAAAAGAATTGACGAGACCATTCTTGTTTAAAAACAAGAAACACATGTTCTCTGGCAGTTTGGGAGGTGTTTGTCTCTTATTTTGTGTTGTTCTTTGGTAATGTTTGAGTGGAAGTGTGTTTTGGTCTTTGAGTGTTTGGAAGTTTATGTTTTTTGGGGATTCACCTTTTTGATTGTAAATGATGGCGGTGCAATTTTGGACGGTTTGGTGTAGTTTGGGATGGCTTGGGAGTTTGGGGGTAGTTGGACGGGATACATCTGCAGATCGGTTCCATTCCTCAAAAACTCGTATACTTTCGGTGATGGAAGGAATTCCGCCAACCCGAGACGTGGATTCCGACGGCGCACCGGCACGGTCGGTGGGTTCCGGTGGGTTCCGGTCAATGTTTTTTTCTTGTTTCGGCGGCCGGTTCAGCAGGGGTTGGTTAGTGTCCTGGAGGCCAAAATGAGAACAGAAAGACTAACATGGCATGGAAGACTCAAAGGGCTGCTTCCATTCCTTGACATGTCTAAATCCTGGAGGCATTCTTGATCCTGCGACTAAACGCGACTCTCTGTGATGTTCGATCCTCATGTTGTCTCCATTCACCCTCGACAGGAGGGTGTGGATCCGTAGGGTTGATATTTTTTCCCACATTGACGTCTGGGGTTTTTGTTTTTAGTGTGGTATCCGCTCCTCCTCCTTCCTCCTCCGCCACCCACAAACTGTGGACCAACCAATTGTCACCAACAAACTTCCACCCACAAACTTGCATCCCACAAACTGCCACCAACCAACTTGCATCCACCAACTGCTACCAAGCAATTGCCACCAA